TGAATCTCCTCAAAAAAAACGAAGGGCGCGACGGGCATTCTTCTCAAGAGAAAAAGAGCGGGCGCGAGAAAGTTGAGGAATTATTAGCACGACCCGCAGCATTTTGCGGATTCAACAAGGGGCCCGGGGACGCACTCTCATTTGTTTAGTAATATTTATCGACATCCGATACAAATTTTTGCTATTCACGATCGGATGAAATCTGTGATGCTGATACATGCAAGAGGGCGAATGTTTCATTTGGAAAGGTTTGCAATACAAATGCTTTCAAGTTCGAGGGTGGGGGCATTTTTCGTTGTAATACCATGGTGTGTGTCTTCCCGGACCCCGTTTGGCCGTAGGCGAAGAAGTATGGAATTTGCAAAAATTATGTCTTGGTCTGGGTTTGTCTTCTCTTGCGAGCTTTGGGTTTGGAGGACGACAAGGTCTGTGATCCATGAATATGATTGTCCATTTTCTAATTTCTCTTGTCGTGCTGCATGCCGGCTTGTGTTTGTCATCTCATATGCGTGTAGTTGCGAATGAATCTGCAACAAGCCTAAAAAACTTCTGATGCTATTATGAATAAGAATAACAGTACAGGCAGCCGCTCTGAAATTAATTTATTCTAATTCAGGTATCAGCATCACAAGTTTCCAGACCCCTGCTCCATGCTTCTTTGCATGCGATAACACCGTGCCGTTGTAGCCCTCCATGACAGATTATCCAGGAAAAAAACTGTGGAAGTGTAACTTTGTAAAGGAAGAGCAGCATCAAAAATTCGCTTTGCATTACAGAAAAAACCTGTCACGCGCAACTAGCACGTGAAAACACGTTGTATCAAAGTCGCCTAGGACGCACATCTAGCATGACAATCGTATACAAGAACAAGTTTGCACTTTCTGCATCACAGATTTACACTCACATGGTTTTTTTCTTGGATACAGATTCCACGATCGAAGAAGCCGTTTCCTCGTAAATCTGCTGTTGGGTGGCTTCTATGCTGTGCAAAAACATCGCGCTACTAGTATATCGCAATCATGCATTACACATGTCAGTCTTGAGCTGAAGCAGCAATACAAATTGTGTGGCTGATGCTGAGCAAATTTGTATTGCAATTACCACTAGTGCGACATCCAGACTTTTGCAATGCATACATTCTGCGTCGTACACCGCATCGTAGGTAAAATCCTTGCTGTCCTTCGAGCTCCCCTCCGGTTTCTGCAGCTATCAAATGCAAATATGTCCGGGTCTGGAAACTTCTGATGCTGGCTGAAGAATCTTGGACACGTCCCAATAATTGGTCGCCACGCATCACAAGTTTTCGAGCTGCTAGGTGTTGCCCGTTCTGCATGGCAAACTGCGCTTCCGCATGACAGAAAACTGGGACGCTTGGCTGACGCGCATGACAAACTCTGCACTCTTCCAGACCCAGACATATTTGCAAAGCATAGCAGCGTTGCACTACCCATTTTGGCGTTCATAAAAACTACCTGCTGCCGCCCGTCCTGGATCTCTTGGCCGGACATGGGGCGGCACCGGACGACCACTTTCACGCATTCCGAGTTTTTCGAAGAGGTCGCGGGCGGAGCCATCTTGATGTAAACAACTCTTGAAAGACAAAGATGTACGAGTCGTCTTCTAATAAATATTGTTGCAACTACATCATGCTACTTAGTTTGTTCGAAGCATATAAGAATGCCAACACCGAAGTGACCGCAACTGCGAGTCGAGCGTAGTTAGCTCTTGTTGCACTCTTAGCTTTAGAATGATCAAAGAGAACGAAGTCCGGGCAGTTTCAAGCAGAGTGTACCGTCGACCGAAGGAAGGAAATATGACGACACCATCGCCATCCACAAGAAATCGCGTTGTGAAACATAAACAAGCTACACAAACTACAGAAATAAGACTTGATTTGAGATGTTGGCACCGAGGTACTTGTCGTTGATGAGACTTGTTCATCTTTATTGTGAAACACGGCGGGAGGCTGAATAGAAACTATCAGGTCAACGGTGCCATTCTTTTCGTTTTCGATGTCGAGATAAAAACGCACTGCCATTGTACGCGGTCACGGCTGAAATTCTCCGAAGATACAGATGAAACCGAAACAACAGAATCTGAGTGAGTCTGATTGTACAGGACCAGGATTGTTGAAAAGCTCTCATCTGCTAGCTTGTACTACCGAAGGGGAAATAGTACAAGTACTGCATGACAACAAATTTTCACAAATTGAAATTTCAATAGAAAACTTCAGAGGGGGGGCGCGAGGGCGGTTTGTGTCCAAAAAGTCAAACATGCCGAATAGCAATAAAGTGAAAGCCGCTTAATATTTTCGACGGATGTGGAGAGGTAATGAGATGAGAATAAAGCCCGAGAATCTACTTCTCCTATTGAACCGGACAAATAACACGTGCAGTCGGTGAACAGCAGGTTACTCCACACTAGTTGTACCTTCTCCACCTGGTGATGTCCTACCGCCCCTCCTGTTATCGTACAACTCTTTCTCCGGACTTGACGAGTCCGCTCTTTGGTAACTCGCCTTCACCCCGCTGCTTGTCGTGCGGACGAGGTGCTGTTGTTGCTGTAGTTTATTTTGGTGCTTCTTTTTCGCGGAAGTAGTTTTTCCAAAGTTGGTCGGGGTCATTGATTCGACATCGTCTTCTTCTCTGCCGCGCTCACGGACCGCAGGACTGGCGATGGTTTCCTCAACTTCGAGTTCAAAGTCGTGGCTGCCCCCGTGAAGGTGTTGCGCATCTTCGAGTTGCACAACTTGCCGAGATGAACTAGTCATGTTGCTATCTTCAAGAGCGCTTTCCGCACTTTCGACAGCTACGGGTATTGCTCGTCCTATTTCCACGTCATTTTCGTTTTCCTCCTCTCTCGCGAAGTAATACACGCCCATGCTCGCCAGCACCAGTATCGCGAACCCGAAAAACGATTTTTTGTAGCCGATATCAAATGCAAATATGTCTGGGTCTGGGAGATTGCGAGATTTGTCAACATGCTAGTCTGGCATGACTCTGAACTGTGTATTGCGTGCCCGGGAAGGGCTCCTCTCGTCTGTCATGTAAAAACGGAGTTTCTCATGCGCAGTACGCAACTCTGAACCACGGAAAAACTTGTCATGCTGGGGAGCACATTACAACAGTGCGCTCGCTCTTCGTCTTCCCTTGCTTGCATCACAAGTACCCAGACCTAGACAGATTTGCAATGCATAGCCGATCCAGTCAAACAACAGGCCCCCGAGGAAAACGACGACGCAAGGACCTATACCTCCGAAGGTAAATCCCAACACCGCCTGCGCGGAGGATTTCATGCCGTCTGGAGCGAGTTTGTTCGTCTCCTGGACGGCCGCGATGAACACCAGGGCGAAGGTGACGCCGTGATATCACAGGAAAAAAGTGTATACAGTTACACATTTGTTGGAGTTTCAGCATGACAAAGTTGCTCTGCATGGCAAGCAAAACTTGTGATGCGCAGACTATAAGGGAAAACACGAACGAAATGAGGCTGGCTGGCATTTCCTGCATGACAGAGGTTGTCTGTCTTGCTATCTTGCATCAGAGCGTGTAACTGTAACACTTTTTTCTCACGATACGTGAAGCGGTTCCACGAGCAGCACGTAGTCCGCCTTGGGCATCTATGCATTGCAAATACGCCTGGGTCTGAAAAGGTGGAACTTGTCTTGCGTGCCTTGCATTCCTGGAAAATCTGTGTTGCATGAGCAACAAGTGAGCAGCAGCTTCCCTTGTTAGGCAAAAACGCATTTTGTAATGCGCGTCAGGCAGCAGAAAGCGGTCCGAAAGTTTGTCATGCTCGGCTGCAATTGCAAGCGTAGTTGCAGTCATGCGCAACACAGCATCACAGGTTCCTTCCAGACCCAGACATATTTGCAGTTGATAGCATCCAGGCGTAGAAGATGGCGCGGAACACCCAAGCGGCTTGTCCGAGGAGGATCATTTGCTTCGCACCGAGCGTTATCAAATGCAAATATGTCTGGGACTGGGTCTGGAAACTACTTGTGATGCAATTGATGGAACTGCAGTGAGTACACTGTAATGCACTGCCAAGCATGACAAGTTTTTCCGTGGTTCTGAGTTGCGTGCCCCGCATTAGAAATAGAAACTGCGTTTTTGCATGACAGGCAAGAGGAGCTCTTTGCGGCAACGCAATACAGAACTCAGAGTCATGCCAGACTAGCATGACAAACCTCGCAATCCCCCAGAGGACCCAGACATATTTGCAGTCCATAGGCGTTTCGAGCAGGTATTCCCCGTAGTAGAAAATCGGTAGCTCGAAAATCACCGTGGTCAAAACACTCATGCCGCACAGGATATGACCTGCTCAAACGATACAATCTCAAACGTTACAATAGAGTCTGGGATTTGTCCTGCATAATGAGCATGACAGACTCGCAGACCATTCCACTTTCTGCAATACAAATTTCGCCAGATTGTAGTGAGGATTAGGACTCCAGAACTTGTCATGCGCAATCGTCCTATGAGAGTTGGCTAGAGTATGCAATTCTTGCAACACAAATTCCAGATTCTATTGTAACGTTTGAGAGTGTATCACCTGAGCAGGTTATACAGGAGCGGAGTCGCGTTCAATTCATCTAACGCGAGAAACAACATGGCTTCCACGAGCGAAAACCCCCCGCCAATCATGGTCAGATTGAGAAAAAAGACTTTCTATGCAGTGCAAAAGCATCGTACTAGTATGAATTGCATCACAAATTTTCTCAGCATGAGAAATGAAATTTGTAATGCGGATTCAACTTAAGAAAAAAATTTGTAATGCGGGCATGCAATTACAACGAGTACGATACTTTTGCAATGCATACTTTCCGCTGTTTCACCATTTGGGTCAGGAGGTCGTAGTTCACCGGAGCCGAGTCCTTTATGAACAAGAAAAATCCCCCCACCCCATATCCAAAAGGAAATCTGTGATGCAGATTTGTGGCCACAGACCAGCTTTGTTATGCTAGAAGGGAAAAGATGCGGACTGTAGTTCTGGGTGTCGTGGGAAGGGAACAAGGCCTTGCATCTTTAGCACGAAAGGAGGCAGCTGGAAGTGGGAAACAGCATGACAAATTGCCTGCAAACGAGGCCACAACTGCGGTGCTTGGCCTTCTAGCATTACAAATCGATTGGTGTACTCAAATACAGCATCACAAATTTCGTTTTCGATATGGGGAGGTGGGATTTTTGTCTTTTGATATCCTTCCCCGCGTGTTTTGGGAACAGTTTCTTGCCCGTATAGAGAAAAAGCAGGCCAATTAGCTGTTTGTTTATTAATAAAGAGGTTATTTTCAGTAGAAGTTAGTACACACATCACAGATCGAGTTAGAAATCTTCCATATCTATACCTGATACCCACCCCACATCGGAAGAAAGCTTCCGTTTGAATGGCTTAGCATGAACCCAAGCACCACGTGTGTCGCGCCCCAGCTGATTGCGCCCCACATGCGGCTCTTCGACCACACATCCCTATCTTTTTCCGACATTTCAAGAATCAGAGCGTCCAAAAGCGAACCCTGCGGCGCCCGGAGGATGTTGAAGGTCACATAGAGAAAGAACAAGGTGCCGATAGTGTGCCGTTGAAAAACGTATCTACCGACAACTCCGGACTTGTTGATGTCATGCGCAATATTTTTACCCAAAACTTCTTGACTGTATGTTTCTGATGTAACTGTATAGCAGAGTTGAAATTGTAAAATAAATTAGTACGGTGTCGGTATAATTCTAAGTGCTCCGGATAGAAACTTTGGCTCGCGTCCACCACCGTCAGGGGGATTGCTGCGAAACTCAGCATGCTAAACCCGATGGAAAACAGCAAAACCAGCTTCGCCTCCCGTGATTTGTCTGCCAGGTAAGCGCCGATGGGGCCGGTCAGCATGGTGGTCAGTTTCCCGGATGACACGAGCAGCCCGATCTGGCTGGCCGAGCAGGATATGGAAAGGAAGTACAGGGTGAGAAACCGCACCCAACAAGCGAAAAACGCGAAGGACACGGCGTTGCTTATCAAATGCCAATATGTCTGGGTCTGGACACTTGTAATGCTGGGCTGTGAATACGTGAATGCTGTCTAATGCACAGGCAAGCATGAGAAAAAATTTGCGAGGCTTTGTGTTGCAGTTTTCGCATGACAAACTGCGTTTTTGCATGACAAGCAAAAGAGTCTTTTCTTGGACACGCATTGCAAGCTCTTTACTCATGCCAGACAAGCATGACAGACCTTGCATCCTTCCAGACCCAGACATTTTTGCAATGCATATATCCGAGGGAGGCCTGATACAGCTTCTCCTTCGTCCTTCTAGCTGTAGTAGGTGTTGAACTCATTTTGCGATTCTCGTGTGCGCTGCTGCCCAAAGCGGTCGTGGTAGTGCTATGGGAGTAGTTTTTGTCGTTTCCTGTACTAGCTGCTCTGCCGTCGATGAGGAGCCCGCTCGTCGTGATTACCCTTCCAATGACCACGTTCTGGTCCGCCGGGAGTGGATGTTCATCGTACCTTTTCCCCGACATCACAGATGGAAACTCTGATTGTTTTACCGCTGCGCCAGTCGTCATGTGGTTGTTTTACTTTTATTTCCGACGTAATATCGTCTTCACCCGATTTTTGCTGTCTTTTAATTACTTGGTGCGCGGGGCACAACTACCTGTCGCGAATAAGATGCGGCCGTGTGCGTGTCTCCTGCAGAGAGAGAGTTCGTTGAAAATGAGCGGCAGCTCGTGTAGAAGTTGATATAATGATGTTCACGACGTACTACATTATCGGCGGTGAGTCCCGAAGTGACAAGCAACTATGCAGTGCAAAAGCATCGTACTCGTAGTGATTGCGAGCATGCATTACAAACCCAACTTTCTACCCAAAGTAGCATGACAAATTGAAATTCTGTACTTGAGCGAATTAGTGATGCAATTCATACTAGCACGATACTTTTGCACGGGATAGCAACTGTCCCACAACAATTTCCTGACTCGGGCGTCCGGGAGCCGCAAACTTTTCCGCGCTTCACACATCAACATACTGAGAGGAAAAATCCCCCCTCCCCATATTGAAACGGTATGTTTCCAAGAATTTGCGTTGCAGATTTGAGGACACAGATCACGTCTGTCTTGCAAGAAGACAAGGGCAGAAGCCTCCGCCCCATTATGGAAGCGATTTGTCATGCTGGTGGGCCTAAAGGGGGGCCGTTTGCCATGCTGAACTACTAGACCCATACGCCCCTACCTAGCCCGGGGATCTGGCCGCAGTGCCTCTCTGCAATACAAAGCTGATTTGTGGTCACAAATCAGCATCGCAAATTTCCGTTTTGATATGTTGGGGAGAGGGATTTTTCATTTTGATACAGCAGCATGGTTAGCTTCACGAGGAGGAACCCGACGAAGCAGTCGTTGAAAGAAACGGCGAAGAGGGAGGCGAGCATTGTTGGCTAGTATATGTCCTCAAATAACGTGGCCACCGTCGAGTAGGGCAGCCGCGGGGTGCGCAAAAGACGAGCTCTTGCTCGACAAAGCTTGGCGCCTGCTATTTGTAGTTTCTTTGCGGCAGTACAAGCACACACGACGAAATATTAAACGTCACTACTCGTTCATTTAAGTGTGGGTGCTGCAAGTACTTGAATCAAAAAAAATTTCGGATGTGCGTTGAACAATGGAAGAAGGAAAAAAAATTTATAGTACTCCATCGATTTAGCTGGACAGGAGGAAGATTCACAACTCTGTAAATAGAAGGCAGGAAACAACGCAGGTTAAAGTGCTATCTCCCTCTACCTACCTCAGCGTCGCTCTAGGAACCTTTTAGCAGAGCTGCATGCGCAAACCTTTCTCTCTCCCGTCAAGCAGGCCTCCCTCAGAGAAAGGAAAGAAACAGAACAACTTACAAAACGAAAACTGCACACAAAATTATAAACTGGCGTCTCTCTCACTCAAGGACAGAAAAGAATCCCAGAAACAACGGTCGAAAAAGTAGGTGTTCTCATCGCCTCCACCCGCTCGAAAAACCAGGGCGCGGCGTAGGATCTTGCAACAAGAACTCAACGTCACAATAGATGAAATCATGCGGATTTGTTCCAGTTTGGTGCTGACACTCGTCCGTGGTCCCGCGCATCTTCGATCTTCTTGGCTACTACCTGAAAATATGTCCGCGCAATGAAGAACTAGCAGCATGATCTTCTTGTTCTTCCGGGTTCTTATTTCATCGGCGGTTCAAAATTCCAGATGATCGTGAGCGATGTGTTAGAACTATTTAATAATACATTCACAAGTCTAGTCCGGCGCCCGATTTCTGACTTGCTGTTCCAGCTGTCTCGCCATCCGCATGATTCCCGGGTCTTCATACGGTACTGCCTCTGCGTTCTCCCCCATAGTCTGCCCCAGTTGGCGGTCCCTGGCATGCTGTGCCTGCATCTCGTTTGCCTCCGTGAACCGAGACTTTGGCTCCAGTGCGTCAAACACGTTCGCAGGCAGGATGGTATTCAGATTGTTCCGGAAAAAGTTGCAGTCGTTTCTGCGGAATGTCTTTTCTGTAGTACTCTTCACAGCAGCAGCCACGACACGCTCGCGTCCCTCTGCTTCGCCATTACCATCATTCGTGCTGTTTCGACGTAATTCTATCGGGTGTTGTTGTAGTAGACCCCAGTTTCCCTTGCAATACTCTCCCAATAGTTGGGTGCTGTCCCACTCCGCCTGTCCCAAGACTAGCGCGAGATAGTCACGCACGCTGTTGCGCAGGCCGTGCAGGTTCATGAAGTGGTGAAAGTCGGTGGCGTAGACTAGTAGCCGATTTTTAGTGAAGTCCACTTCGACTACGCGGAGATGGAAAACTTCGCGCTCGCTTAATATCCTCGTTTTCACCTCCTTCCCTGCTGCTTCGTTTCTAGTTTCATCCTCGCTGTAGTTGTTCCTTGCAGGAATCAATTCTTGAGGTGGTTGTACAATTAGTTCATCCTGTTGATTCATCTTTTCATGTATCTCCTCTGGAGATGGAAAACCTCGCTCCCGCCCTGCTGCTTCTGTGATTGCGGCAATGGCCTTGCACGGGATCCAACCGCGCGGGCCGTGGGTGGAGGACCACAACGACGACGACGACGTGGGTTCTTCCTTAGAAGTTGAAGTACACAAGGACGGCGAGGAAGATATTTTTACAGTTCTTGTTTCGGAGCTGCAGCTTTGTTCACCGCCCGCCTCGCCGCGAGTGGAAGCGCTCGAAGACGTAGAACTACTAGCTGGAGCAGCATCTTTTTTCTATCGAACGCAAATTCTATGTTTGGGTCTGGAAAATTTTCATGCTCTCATGCGGATCATGCGCAGAAACACGCATCACAGAATCCAGTGTGGTCCTGCGACGAGCCCAGCAATTTTAGAAGTGTCTTGCAATATTCCACACAAAACAAACCCAGACATATATATAAAAAAAATTTCCAATGCGTATCTTCTCCACTCCTACTCCCTGCTCCGCCGGTGCAGGTGGAACAGGACCTATATTATCGACTACAAAATAGTCCAATAACTGTTTCAGCACGATTTGTTGCCGAAAGGACGAGGTGGAGTTCTCTCCTCGTCCCCCGCCCGCACCATGTAGACCAAACTTGTTGAACTCAGCCTGCAGCAATTCCCGGTCTAAAACAGCCAGTCCCTTCGCGGCCCGTGGATGGCAGGGGCCGCCGGCCAGTATCCCACGAAAAAACTGGTTCACTGTGATGACTTTGCAGGATCTGCATCACAATTTTCTACGCATGACACTGAAAATTTGTCATGCGCGCTTCCCAAGGGAAAACCCGCTTGAAAATCCAACGCCTTGCAGGTGTAGCAAGGCAAAGAGTTCTGTGTTCCATTTTCTGCATCACAAATTCACAGTGAAACAGTTTTTTCTTGCGATAGCCAGCACGTAGACCTTGATGCTGGGTTTTTCGCTGATGAAGTCCCGGAGCGACGAGTATTTCAGGTTCCATTCGTATCACAGGAACAAAGTGTTACAGTTACACACCTGTTGGAGTTTCTGCATCACAAAGTTGCTCGACATGGCAAAGAAAACCTGTGATGCGCAGGAGACTATAAGCGAAAACAAGAATGAAATGAGGCAGGCTGGCAAGCATTTCCTGCATGACATAGGTTGTCTGTCTTGCTTGTCTTCGGTCAGAGTGCGCAACTGAACTGTGACACTTCTTTCTCAGGATAATTCGTCCGGCGTCAGGGAGATCGGGCGTACCAAGTTAAAACCGATCACCTTTCGCTTCGCGCGTTCACTAGTTTTATCGACGTTGTTCCCAATCGTGGTAGTTTTTGTCCCCACGGGCGTACTGCTTTCCGCCTCATTTTGCTCCTCATCCACTAATATCAAGTGTAAAAATGTCTGGGTCTGGAAGAATGTGAGATTTGTCATGCAGATTTTCCATGACCCATGAGGTCTGGAATGCAGGACCTAGCATGACAGATTCTGTGCGATCTTTCTCATGCCTATCCTGCGTGAGAAACTCCCTCCCGACTTGGTCAAAACTGGGCGACTTTTGGTAATCATGCACATCCAACACAGATTTTTACATGCTTCAGATTTAGCATGACAAGTTGCATTCTTCCAGACCCAGACATTTTTACATTTGATAACTAATAGGTAACACGCGTTCCGGAAGTGCTGGTGCTTCATTTCCACAATGACCCGCAGCATGAACGGCAATGACTGCAGCCTCAAATTCCTACCCCGCTCCCGCTCGTGTACGAACAGCGTCCCGATGTCGAAGTCCTGCTCTGTTTTCTTACACAGGTCTTGCAGAAACTCCGACCGTATGCATTGCAAATATGTCTGGGTCTGGAAGGATGCAACTTGTGATGGTGTCTCTTCACTCTCAAAAAATCTGTATTGCATACCCAGCAAGAGGGGTCCAGTTTGTGCTACATTGAGAGGGCATTTGTTTCTCATACGCAATAGGGATCAGGAAGCCCTCTAAAAATCTGCGATGCTATATTATGCATTACAGGCGTCATGGGTGTGGGTCACGTAAAATTCGCATGACAAGTTTTGCATTCTTCCAGACCCAGACATATTTGCATTTGATAGACCGCGACAGGGGCTCAAATCCGGGCTGAAACTTTTGCAGACAGAGCGAGCATCTCTCGTGCCGCTGTTCCTTGTTCTGCTCTTCTACCTCTTGTTCCCGGGGTCGTGGCTCCTCTCCAGGAGTAGTTCCTGGCCCCACATTGATGTTCGCGTCATTTTCGTTTTCCCTCTCCCCGGCCGCAGCGTTGCCCCCTCCCCGGCCTTCTGCACGACCCGCGGCCGGCCCGTCGTCGCGCATCTGGAGCTGGACCGTGCGCTGCCACGCGCGGAGACAGTGCAGGTGCACGTACTTGCTGCTTCCGAGGCAGCCGCTATCAACTGCAAAAATGTCTGGATCTGGAAACTTGTGATGCTGAGTGGCGTAGCATGAAGAGGCCACAAGTGCTGGCTCAGCATGACAAATTTCTGAGCTTGTAGGTGTTGCCTATTCTGCATGACAAATTGCGTCTCCGCATGGCAGAAAAATGCGGCTCTTGGGCAACGTGCATGACAGATTTAATAGTCATGCCAGACAAGTATGACAAACATGCATTCTTCCAGACCCAGACATTTTTACATTTGATAGCCGCAGGGCGTGAACAACTCCCCATCCTCCTCGCCAGAGAGACAAAACCGGCACTTGTTTTGATTTGTTCCAGAAACATTAACATTACCTCCCTGTGACGGATCTTCTTCCTCGGGGAGCACCTCGTCCTCTCCGGACAGAACAACGCTCGAGCTATAGTTCTGCGTCTCTGCTCCACTCCGTTCATGCGTTCTGCTCCTGGCCTGCTGCTCGTCCTCCTGCGATCCGCTAACTTCCTCTTCCGCTTCTGGGGACGTCGAGGCGGGCCTCCTTGTTTCTGCCATGAAGTAGTTACAACGCCCTACATTTGATATCCTCGAATAAAGATCCTAGTAGAACAACCGGATGCAATAAATTTGCTTTGACCTCCTGGTGATGAGGTGGATTCGGATTTCTTAACAGCACAAAAGAGAGTACAGTACTCGTCATCTCGTACTCGTGGTTAAACACTGCTCACATCGGAGTTGTACTCTAGTACACGGTGTTCAGGCAGCTCTTTTGCATCGAAGAAGTTGTCTTCAAACGATCAGATAATGGGTAAGTAACAAGAAATACAGGTCCGTGAGGCACATCAACCAAGCGTTAGTGGAAACTGGGCGTTTATTTTGACATGAAGAGGATATCGATATTGATTCTCGAAAGAAGAAACGACATTTATTTTATTCTTCACCGAAGATGCAAGGCCGAGGGACGAAGGCTGTACCATTTCATACAACAGAGAATGGATTGTGACACCCTTAAAATTTTGTACTCCACCGACCTGCAAGAACCGACTTCAATTTCCTCGCATGCAGCTGGAGCCTCGACTAAAAGTCCTCTCGGTACGCCGTTTTTAAAACAAGCGACAAATGAAGGGTCGAATGAACGTGATTTATTTTGCGGCCAACCAGCGGGCCTCGAAATGTCATAAAAACTTCTAATATAAAACTGGAAACCTCTTCTTTGATCATCTCCAGAAGTCAGAGTAGAGTCAGAACAGTTGCTTCTGCAGCATCGAGCTGCAGGAGCGAACTTAGTCTTGGAAACGCGAACGCATCACTTCATGTTTATTCACTGTCAGCAACAATGACAAAGTACTGTCGTGGTATTCTTCCCACTTGCATGGAGTTTCCGGCATCCCTAGAACGTGAGAGCAGGGGAAGTCAACGTACTATCCCAAAAATGACAATTCGTAATCAAACTACCCGTGCTCCTGCGATCGACTACGCCAAGAAGGATGAAATGAAACCTTGTGCTTGTCGTGTGTAGGATCGACATCATTATTTTTGCATCAAAAATCGTACGAGCGAAGTCATGAATTACCTCTTATTCAAAAAACGTTGCATCAAAAATGTACTCAAAATGATCCACGATTTATTCTTGCAGCGGGCTCTTGTCAAAGACATAGTCCCTGTCGCATCAACACTAATACAACAGGAAACTATCCCACATAATTTCCCCGCTTCCGGCGGATCAACTGTAGTCCTCTCGGAATCCGAGAAAAAAACTCTGCTAGCTCGCAACTTTTTTGGGCTGGCGCTCAGGCTGCCGCTCAGGCTGCCGCTCAGGCTGGCGCTGGCCGCATGACAAATTTCTTGCGCTGCATGACATTAACAAAAGCTGTCAGGAAACGCTACTCCTACGTGAAGAAGGCACGGATGAAAATGAATCTAAGTAGCCTCAGTGAGATGTTACAGATTTGGCATGACAGGTCGCGTTTTTCCAATATAGAGACCAACACAGTTTTTTTCTTCGATACCCGGGAGGTACTCTTCGAAATCGGTGATCGGGCCTTCTTTCGTCGACTCTCGATTCCATATCCCGTGTAAAAACGTCCCGACCCCATAGTTGTCATGCAATTCTGCATGCCAAAAAAGTAAAGTTTCTCATGCGGAGCCCTATGAGAAGCAATTCTCTGTTCGTGTTTTGGAATTTGTGATGCGAGAATCAGCATGCCGCGCTAGATCTGTGATACACAGGATTACACTACGAGGACAAACTTGCCATGCCAAACCAACAAGGCTTGTTGATTTGTCTAGCAGATTTCCCATCTTAACTCTGGTGTGGGGACGTTTTTAATCAGGATATTCCAGGTGGCGTAGTAATCGGGGAACTGCCCGCGCGCATTCACGCTCGACCAGCGGACAATGCCTCTTCTGCCCTGCACCATGTTCACTTTTTTCCTGTTACAACGCTCCGTCGCCTTCTTGCTTTTCTTATTCATCCCTGAGGAGGTTGTAGAAGCACTTCGTCCCCCGCCTCGCTTACAGCCGGACCTTTGCTTCATTTTCTGTTTCTGCCTTTTCAGAAAAGTGTTCTGGTTTTCACTGCGCGTTTTCGTCCCGTTCTTCCATTTATTCCGCCCTTTCGTCAAGAAGTTCCGAGCCACCAAGTAGCTGGTAAGTTCCCCGTTGTGAAAGAAAAATCCGCGGTGCTTCCGCCCACTTTCCCACGCGCGCTGTCGCGCGTCACCGGCCGACTGAATGGCGACATTCAGCTTCTGCTGCTTAGCCGCGGGCAACTTTTTCAGTTGTGCGACTAGTTTCCCGGAGTAACACGCATCCGCGATTACGAGAAGCTTGTGGTTTTTCTTCTGCGTCTCCGTCAAAAAAAACGTTTCCTGTATCAAATGTAAAAATGTCTGGGTCTGGAAGCTTGTGACGCTGGGTGGCGTCTCATGATGAGGCCGCAAGTGCTGGCTCAGCATGACAAGTTTCTGAGCTTCTAGGTGTTGCCTATTCTGCATGACAAACTGCGACTCTGCATCACAGAAAAATGAACATGGAGCTCTTGCTCTTGGGTAACATGCATGACAGATTTAAGAGTCATACCAGACAAGCATGACAAACATGCATTCTTCTAGACCCAGACACTTTTGCAGTTGATATCCTGCGCGAGCGTCCAAATCTCGTAAATGTCCTCGAAGGTCAGAAAGGATGCATTTGCGTAGGTCTTCTTGCGCCGGTCGTCTGGCGCGAACATCACCGCACCTTTTAGGTTATGCAATGCAAAAGCATCGTACTGGTACTACTACTAGTATAAGTTGCATTACAAATTAGCCCAGCATTACAAATTGGATTTGTAATGCTGGTTTGCCTTGAGAAAGAAATTTGTAATGCATAAACGCAATTACTACGAGTCCGATACTTTTGCACAGCATATAGGTGCGGCTGGTGGTAGCATTCCGAGGCAGCGAACCCGTTATGGAAGCGTCAGGATTGAAATCGTCAAAGTTGTGATGCATAAAATGCAACGCAAACATTGCCTCTATTGCAGAGGACGCAAGGGATGCAGATTGGAAGCCTGTTGAGGGGTAAAAATAAAAGAGCTGCTAAAGTAGCATGACACAAGGCGCATCCCTTACCCAAACAGCATGACAAACTGGATTTCGGCTCTACCCAAATTTGTCATGCACCACTTAGAAACTAGACCCCAGCTGGTATCTGTTTTATGCATGGCAAACTATTTCAACTTTGCCGATTTCAATCCTGGAACTCCCATACCCGTGGCCCGACATGTAAAGGACGAAAAGTGCCTTCTTCCGCTTCGCACCTAATGTTCTTTATAGTATTTGCTGGAACAACTACCGAACTATTCAGATTGAGATTGATGTTCTTGTGTCGAGGCGTAATAACTTTTTTAGGTACAGAAAAAGCACAGCACTTCTCAAGCAAGAAAAAAATAACACCTCGGAAGCAACTGCTTCCTCAGCTGGAGGATAAAAATGTATGGCCCGGTCAGCGACGCTTTTTTCAAGTATGCTGAGAATTTTTGTATGCGTATTTTTTGCAAATGCGCCGCCCTTCCGCCCGTGCGCATTCGGGCAATGAAACTGCAGAAGCGGGCCGCGCACTTGATTGCGCAGGCCCAATGAGGGGGAGCCAAGCTAGACGCCCATGAACAGGCCCGCCGTGTTGGCCCGCGCGCATTGTCTGAGATCATTACGGGGAGGGAGGGCGCCTCCCGACATCCGCCCAAGCTTTCCTCGTTGGCCCCCCGTCTCTCCTCTGTTTATGGAAACCCCTGCCGACATACCAGCGGCGAAGACATTGGGCACAGTGGGCGAAAATAATGCCAAAAAATGCACCTTGGAAGAAAAAGCCGGACGTGGGCCAGCTTTTCCGGACACGGCCGGAAACCCTGGCCCGCCAAAGCGCGCGGACCCTACACCACCAACATTTTGCTCTCGCTAATCTGTGCGCGCCCCCTTGACAGGCGCCAGTCCCCCGCCGGGTTTAGGTCTTTCCGCCTTCCAGCGAAACCACCTGGGGCGCGGCCCGTTTCAGCGTTGCTGCCTTTTATTTCCGAGGCACCCCAAGCACAGGCAGAGGTCCTTCGGCGCAATTTCCGGAGAATTCTCTGCCCGGCGTCGGGCAATTACTCCGGGACGTTTGGGGGCCTCTTTGAGGGGCATCATTCGCTGGGGTTTCGCGTTCTTTTGGGGGGCATCTTTTCACCCCTTCCGGAGGCACCCCCCGGGGCTTGCCGCCGACGCTTTCCTGGTAGTGCATTCACTGGCCTTTTTCCTCCCCGCGGTGCCAGCGGCAAGCCGCGGGGAGGCCTCGCCGCCATTTCTGCTCGGCGGCCCGGCGGGCGGGCGGCGCCGCGGTGACTGAACTCGCACAGGCGCCGCGCTCGCGATTGGCTGCGGGCCCACCGACTATGTCTATGCGCTCGCGCACAGGGAGGGCACATCCGCAAAGCCTTCGCCATGGACGCGGGCGCGCCGAATCGATGGGAAACCAAAAACGCGGCCCAATGTTGCGCGGCATCGTCGAGGTTTGCCCAACCTGTGCAAGGCCTCTATTTGCTCGAAGTGTGCCCGCGCGGCGGGGCATGCGCATCACCAACACATAGGGGCGCGCCCCTTGGTGCATTTCGGGACGCCGTGGCGCCTCGCCAACAGCGAATGCCACGCGGCGGGCCCTCCACGAAGTGGGTCCCGGAGGAGCTTGACGTGGCCAGCCTCCAAGCTGATAGACACAGGCCCTGTGGGAACGGGGCGCGATGTCTTCGAGTGTCGCCCAAGTGCTCGGAACCCCAATCGTCATGCGAAAAAAAATGCATATCAAAATTTCCAGCATACTTGAAAAAAGCGTCGTTGACGCCACCATAAAATGCTATACGTACTTATACCTGCTTTGAGCCATCTCATCATCTTCATCAGTGCGTCTTCTCTTCGCAACGCAGGCCGTGACTTCACTCTTTTCACAAACATTTTCTTGGTTTGCGCGTAGCCCACGACCTTTTTCACCGCCTGGAACTTCTTTTCCTTAAACTATCAAAAGGAAAAATCCCCCCACCCCATACCAAATGGGAAATCTGTGATGCAGGATTTGCGTACACAAATGCGCGCTGTCTTGCAATACGGCATCGCAGCCAGATCCGCAGCCTAGAGAGGGATATTTTGGTCTAGTTGCTTAGCATTTCAAACGGCTGTCCTCTAGGCCCAACGGCATGCCAAACCGCTCCCATAATGGCAGGGAAGCCTCTGCATTTGTCTTCTTGCAAGACAGCCGTGAGTTGTGGTCTCAAATCAGCAACACAAATTTTCGGAAGCATGCCTTCTCGATATGGGCAGAGGGGATTTTTCCTCTCAATATAAACAGCAGCGACATCAGCTTCGCATCGTGGCCGCAGCGGTTGTATCCTGTGCAAAAGTATCGTAGGCACTCGTAGTAATCGCATTCATGCATTACAAATCTGGTTCCCAAGGCAAATCCGCATTTACAAATTCCATTTGTCATGTTGAGCGAATTTGTATTGCAACTACTACTAGTACGGTACTTTTGCAATGCGTAGGTTGAGACCCCCCAGTGGTCGCCTGTCCCACCGGGCGTTTTGGTAGGGCGTCTGCAACGAGGCCACGCAGAGGGCAGACCGGAAAGTTTGGTTATAGTTTTTCAATATTTTGTTTCCAGCTGGTGTTGTTGAAAATGCAGTACAAGTACTCGTCGTCCTCTTCGAAGTGGCACTACTAGTAGTGCTGGAGCTGGCTGCTTTCTGTTTCTTCCGCAGCTTTTTATCAGCATCATGTCGGCTCTCTGTAATTGTAGTTCTTCCTTTCGACGGCCGTGTAAAAATACTTCCAGGTAGTTTCTTCGACGACGACGACGATCCGCGTGCAGGACTGCTGGTCTGATCTCCTGCTTTGTTTTGCTTGTCCGGTCGTGAGGCTGAAGAGGAACCTCCTTCATCCGCAGCATTTAAGCCAGTAATCACACCAGCGGCGTGCACAGGTTGCAGGCTGTAGTAAGACTGGGAAGAAGATGAAAAGGAAAACGAAAACAAATCGTCCACTACAGGGAAAATAAAGATCGTGAAGCCGTTCAGAAAAAAGGCCGCCATAGTTCCTGCGAAGTGGACCGCTTTTTTGCGCTTCTTTTGCGAAGAAAGTCGAGGCAACATCTTCATCTGGGTCTTCATGATCATGCCAAGTTGTTTCGATAAAACAGAAACTTTCGTGTGCCCCCGGGGGAGATCCTCCGAGTGGACAAGGACAGGTCTGCAGCACTCAAGATATAAAGAGTAGAGAAAATTATATACGTGAAAATTCTGTAACAAATACTTATGAAAAAAAAACAACGCCTCACCTTTTACATGTACTCTACGATGAATGTTATTGACAGACGGTAGGAAATGATCACCAAACTTGGTAGACAAGAATTTCGTGAAAAAACCCACCAGTCCACAGTTACGACAGAGCCGTTTGTCGTAGCGAACGCAAGACACCACAACTAAAAAATGAAATAACTATAATTCCTGTAAAATATACAAAATCTTATTCGAGGAAAGCGCCCAGGAGTAAAAAGAACTTCTGCCAAATAAAGGTGGAACCTGATCTCAGTACATCTACCTATGCGTGAGCGTGTACCGTGACCATGATAGATCGTTGAATCCAAATACCGACCTCTGCGCCGCCAAAACTGCTGGTTCACATCACATTTTTCGCAAGAATCACGACGCTGCAGATGATAAATCCTCAGTGACGACGGACCCGGCGCACTGTGTGGGTCAACAAGTCAAAATCGAAAAACGCAGTGAAGCTGATCTACGGAGGAAGTGGTAGAAGTTGAAATTGTACTTAGCCCTTTATAAACTACAGGACCATGGTGTGTTCCACTTCCACCTCCTCGAGTTCACATATACGATCAAGGAGTCACAGCTGAATCAGGACCGCAAACAGAAATACGAATACCTATTACAGCCCGCTGCAAGAAGAAGACAAAACGTTATTCTTCTTCAGATCATTTGACTAGTGACATCTTCCGTTCTCGCAGATCAGAGCAAGATCATCATCATCATCATTATCATCCTCTCCTCCACTGACTGGTGATACACACGAAGCAGCGCCATTCTTTTCCTATTCTCCATTACAAGCATTTCTGGCGCAGAACACCAGAATTTCTGTCCAAAAAGAGCAGAACAAGGACGGTATCAAAGTAGACCCCCGCCGCAAGTAGTACTTTTTATCTTCCAAAAGTAGAGTGGCATTTTTTCAGAATCTTCGGACGAGCATAGCATGATCTTGATCTGCTTCAACAAACCCATCACTATCCATGCACTTGCTGATAAGTTTAAGTAAAAATATGAGCCTGTGCATAATTTATTCCAGGATGATTCAAGATGGAAAGCTCCGTTAGGGAAAATAAGAGGATCATCCACAGCTCTCGGTGGTAGCTAAATCCTGATGTGTTGGCGGGCGCATAGCTGCTGTGCACCTGCATGTAGAAGTAGAACATCATCCTCTTTTCTTCCCGAGGCGCACAGAATCAGAAATAATAAGCTCCTGCAAATAATCAATTTTTTTACTTATCCACACCAAGCCTGTTCTTCCTGCGCAGCATGCACAGATCGTGAAGACCGTGAAGGTGCCCCTACAACTTGGACCGATTTTTTGCACTAAAAATCGCTATACATTTCGACATCAACGACAGCCTCCGCCACTTCATCTTTCACACATTATTCCCCTCTGCTAGCTCAAAACACCACGACGGTGGTTACAGCGTCAGGTGGTAAGAGACTACCGCACAAGAAAGGCGAGCCCTTTATTGCCTTCTCTACTTAGGTTTCACAAAAACGGCAGAGCGAGAGAGCAAAGACCGCGAGCTGCGCGCAGGAGCTACCACACGGTTTAGAAGCTTTGGAGATTTGTCGATATCTACAGCAACATCCGATCTTCTGTCAAAACCCCCGTAAAATATTCGTCGCCGTGTTGGTAAACCTCCGGTTCGTGAGGTGGTACGAGCTCCTCATCTGCTCCGCCGCCTCATCTTGGTAGGTGGGTTGATGTCCTCGGATGCCGTTGAGTATCCCGTGTAAAAACATCCCCACCCGCCCAGAGTTGTCATGCAATTCTTTCAGCATGCCAAAAAAGTATTTCACGCGGAGCCCTTAGTGCTTTGGGATTTGTGACGCTAGAACCAGCATGCTATGCTAGATCTGTGATGCTTCCGAACTAGCTAAACAGGGCTACACTACGAGGACAAAGAACTTGTCATGCCAAACAAGTAAAGCTGGTTGATTTGTGTAGCAGATTTCCCATCTTCACTCTGGGGTGGGGACGTTTTTCATCAGGATATTGAGCTGATCAAACTCTTCACTCCCAGCCACTGCGTGATTAAACTCCTCCCCCTCTCCTTCTTCTGGGTGAAAAATCGGGGGAAAGCAGGCGTATACGTTCTCTTCGGGTTCGAGCCGCAGCAGGGTTTGAAAGATCTCAATCAACTATCGAAAGGAAAAATCCGCCCTCCCCATATGATCAAAACGGAATTTCTGAAGCTGGACCTGTGTACACAAATCAGCTTTGTATTGCAGAGAGGCATTGCTTCCAGATCCTCAGGCTAGGTGGGGACGTATGGGTCTAGTTGCTCAGCATGGCAACCGGTCCCCCTTTAGGCCCATCAGCATGACAAATCGCCTCCATAATATGGCGGAAGCTTTTGCCCTTGCCTTCTTGCGCGACAAATGTGGTTTGTGACCTCTTATGAGCAACACAAATTTTCGGAGACATACCTTGTTTTCAATATGGGGAGGGGGGATTTTTCCTTACGATATCAACTCGTCATAGTCTTCGGCGACGTCTGTCGTGAGCTTCTCCGAGGGTTTGGTTACTAGGAAATGCATATCAAATGTAAAAGTGTCTGGGTCTGGAAGAATGCATCCTGTCATGCTAAATCTGAAGCATGCAAAAATCTGTGTTGCATGATTACCAAAAGTCGTCCAGTTTTGACCAAGTCGGACGGGAGTTTCCCATGCAGGATAGGCATGAGAGAGGTCGCACAGAATCTATCATGCTAGGTCCTGCATTCCAGACCTCATGGATCATGGAAAAGCTGCATGACAAACAAGGCCCACCCGAGCGTGGGGACAGGGTCCCCACGCTGGGGCCTTGTGCCCGTCCCTAGTGGCGCTAGTGGGGGAAGGGTGTTCGGCATCGGGGCGGACAGCGTCCGCCCCTCGCCTCACACCAGGCGCGCGCATGGTGGCTCAGTGCGCGAAGCACTAGTGGGGGAAGGGTGTTCGGCATCGGGGCGGACAGCGTCCGCCCCTCGCCTCACACCAGGCGCGCGCATAGTGGCTTAGTGCGCGAAGCACTGGTGGGGGAAGGCAGGGCGTTCACCTGTCGCGGTCACCTGTCGCGGTCACCTGTCAAGGTCCCCTGTCGAGGTCACCTGTCGAGGTCACCTGTCGAGGTCACCTGTCGAGGTCACCTGTTGAGGTCACCTGTCGAGGTCACCTGTCGAGGTCGCCTGTCGAGGTCGCCTGTCAAGGTCACCTGTCGCCAGGGGTATGCGTTACCAGAACCCGGAAGTCGAGCAATGTAAATATTAATCGCGCATTCTTCCAGACCCAGACATTTTTACATTTGATAATGCAGCAGCGAAGAAGTTGTTCTAATTGCTGTACCAAGTTGCTGGTCCACTAAACCAGCACCATCGGGAGAAGAGGAACTCGCAAGCGCTTTTTCTTTCAACTCCTCCACCAGTCCGAACTCCGACAAAGAACCTGCGATTACTTCCGTGATCATTTCTTGTTGCTCGGCTCCACCAGATGAGCTCAACAACCGTGTGTGCAATTGTAAACCGAGAAGAATCTGCTGAAACATAGACACCACGACGGCCTGCTGGTAAAATCTTTGCTCCGGGGTTTTATCTGTTTCTTCCTCATCCTCCTCCTCATTTCCATTATTTTTCTCAACCAGCTGCACCTGCTTCACCAGGCTGCTGGCCGGCTATCAAATGCAAATATTTGTCTGGGTTTGGAAGATGAATGCAAGACCTGTCATGTTGGAAGGCTAAGGGCTGGGCGTCCCCTCGTAAACTATTCCTACAAACTGTAGCCACATACTCGGTAAACTCTAGAAGAAATCTCTGGACAACGCGATTTCTATCGAAAGACAAACACAACAGCGTCTGGGACGTCTGGGACGGCTGCGACGGAATGCAAGACCTGTCATGCAAGTTTTCCATGACGCGTGAGGTCTCGAATGCAGGAACTAGCATGACAGATTCTGTAAGATCTGTATCATGCCTACCCTGCATGAGAAACTCCCTCTCAACATGGTCCAAAATGCACAGCTATTGGTCATTTTTACGCAACACAGATTTTCGCATCATCCAGATTTAACATGACAAGTTGGCACAACGCTTCCAGACCCAGACATATTCGCATTTGATACCGGCGCGTTTGCGACAAAAGTCACGTAGTTTTCCAGATTTTGTCGTAGCTGGTTGAGAAACTGTTCCCCTGCGTAGCGGGTGACAGCCTCTTCGGAAATGGTTTTCACCGTTGAGCTGATGGTTAAACTCGCGAGGTCGAGCTGCTGTAGCTGCTGCTCTTCGTCTTCTGGCGGTGCGTTGTTTTCTTGTTCATCGCCTTGTTGTTTTGCTCGTTGTCGGTGTCCCCCGCCCGGAGAGGTGCCGTCAACACAGTTCTCTACTTCTTCATAGTCTGCTGCACTAGCAAGAGCATCTTCTCCAACATCTGTGCCGACGTTAGTGGGCTCCGACTCGATGTGCTTCAAGTTCTGGTGTCCTTGTTTGTTGTTCCCTTGCAGCTGCTTTTGTGGTGAAGACACCAAAGTCTCTTCTTCCCCCTCTCCCGGTGCAATCGTTAGGTTGGAGGTGTCTGGGTCCTATCCCACGAAAAAAGTGTTTCACTATGATGATTTTGCAAGATCTGCATCACAAGTTTGTATACGCATGACGCTGAAAATTTGTCATGCGCACTTCCCAAGGGAAAACACGCGGGGAAATCCAATGCCTTGCAGGTGTAGCAAGACAAATAGTTCTGTGTTCCATTTTCTGCATCACAGGTTCACAGTGAAACAGTTTTTTCTTGCGATAGATCCTCGTTCAAAGTCAATCCGGACGAATCTTGCTCCGCATGTTGTTCATCTACTTGCAGATCTATCAATTGCTGTTCCAAGAGCTCTATCCTGTGCAAAAGTATCGTATAAATGCCAGACTAGCATGACAAATCTGGTTTCCTAGGTAATTTAGCATGAAAAATTCAATTTTTCATGCTGAGCTAAATTTGTGATGCAATTTATACTAATACCAATACGATGCTCTTGCAGTGCATAAGCTCTTTTTCTTCCTGCTCGTTCGCGTCCGCTATCGTGACAATCGGCTCTGCCACCATGCGCGCCCGCTGGTGTTTATTTTCACTTCTCGCTTGCGGAAATTTTTGGCCGACGTTTTGCTGCCGTTGTTTTTCCTTCTTTTTTTTCTTCCGTCTCTCGTCGTCGGACAAGACGATCTCGTTCCCGTGGTCAGATTCCTCCGAAAAATCGTCGTCGCCCGGCGCACCAAAAGTTGTTGCGTCATGCGCGGAACTAGTACTAGATGTTACTAGTGGACTTTCTCAATAAAGGACTATTTGACCTAAGTGATTCCTAAGTGTACTCCCCTCGTGTTTCGCTTCAAAAGCCGCTTAGTATCTGGATTCTGTTCTGATTATTTTGGATTGCCATACGTAGACCGATGGCATTTTGATGCGTTCTGCGCATTTCCATCGGTCTTCTTTCCAACATGCCAACCAGCTTAGACTAGACCCAACACAAATGAATTTCGCGACAATGGCCCGACGCAAAATCGCGCCTACGAATCAGCGACATAGCGGGGAAAAGAAGGAAAAGAGACGCCGCGCGATGCGATTCTTTGCGCGGCGTTTGCACTAGAGAAGAGCTGGGCCGTTTGCTACTCTTGCTTTTGGGAAATTTGCAAAAGCCCCAGCCCCTCCTTGCGGGAGAAAGAACAAAATGGCTGCCCACGTAGTGCCGTCGTGTGGCAGCCAGCGCTTACAAGTTGGCACTACGGCCGCAGCCATTTTGTTCTTTCCCCCGCGCGGGCGGGCTGGAACTGTTGCGACTTTTCCACCCCCTTCTGGAAAAGTTGCAAAATAGCGCCCCAACACCCGCCTGCGGGAGAGAGAACAAACCGGCTGCCCACCTACTGCCGCCGCCCGACGCCGTATACACAGTGGCACTACGGTCGCAGCCAGCTGCATTCTTCCCCCACGAACGGACGCTGAAACTTTTGCGACTTTTCCTCTTGTTTGGGAAAGTTGGAAAGGCTCCAGGGCCCGTTCGCGGAAGAAAAACAAAAGCGGCCCCGTCGCAAGCTGGGCACTTGCCATTTTTCGCGTTTTGCAGCTTTTTTTCGCGTTTTGCTGCTTTTTTTGGTGTTCTCCCGGTTCCCGGTCGAGTTTTCTCCCGCCAATTGTTGGGGAACAAGTTCGCCTGCCATTGGCTGAGGGGGGGGGCCAGCTCGATTGAAAACCGGCAAAGCACGAAAAAAATATGCAAAACACAGCAAACAAAGCGGCAAAACGCGAAAAAAAATCGCAAAACACACAAAAAAAAACCAACTGGCCACATGCAAAACCTAGCCCAGCGGGGCCCCGGAGGGTCAAACGGCTGCCCGCCCCGCCCGCGGCGCCGGCCGCGCGGGTAAAAATTGCAAACGCCAAAAACACAAAGCCCCCGCGGGTCTCAGCAATTTTGCCGTGGCGCCGTTTTTTTCTTCGATTTAGCGCTTTTTGTTCGGTTTTTAGCACTTTTTTTTCGGTTTTTACGCCAAAAAATGTGGCGCGCGCGCAAAAATCCACAATCCAAAAAGGCCACGACATTAAATCCGGAAAGCTGACGGGGCCCCGGCGCCCGCGTAGGTTTTTTTGTTTTCGCGATTATTTTCTCCGGTTTTGCAGAAAAAAACTGCGAAAATGGTAAAAAAAGTCTCGGAATTGCACAAGCAGCGCGCGCCTGTTCTACATCGCAGCCAGGCGAAGTCTGGTTGCTACCTAGGAAGCGGAAGCTGGCGCCTGCGTCAAACCTCCGTCGAGCTGGAAGTAAAAAGTGGAAGGAAAGATCTCCGGCAAAGTCGAAAATGGAAGGCAAAATCTCCGGGAAAAGCTGGAAAATTCGGAAAAACCTAGGTGAGACCTAAGTGGAACCTAAGTCGAACCTAAGTGGAACCTAAGTGAAACCTAAATGAAACCTAAGTGAAAAAAGTGAGCCCCTAAGTGGAACCCTAAGTGAAACCTAAGTGAAACCTAAGTGAAACCTAAGTGAAACCTAAGTGAAACCTAAGTGAAACCTAAGTGAAACCTAAGTGGAACCTAAGTGAAACCTAAGTGAAACCTAAGTGAAACTTAGGCCATACCATGCGGATTCACTTAGGTTTGACTTAGGTTTGACTTAGGTCTGACTTAGGTTTCACTTAGGTCCCACTCAAGCTCTCACTTAGGGTTTTCCGGATTTCCAACTTTTGCCGGAGATTTTTTCTCCCGGTTTCGACTTTGCCGGAGACTTCCACTTCCAATTTTTGCACCCAATTCGACGGAGGCCCCAGCCAGCTTCGGCTTCCTAGGTGGCAACCAGGTTCCGCCTGGCTGCGACGTGGAACAGGCGCGCGCTGCTTGTGGAATTTCAAGAGACCGCCTCGCGCTTTTTTTGCCGTTTTCGCAGTTTTTTTTCGCGTTTTGCAGCTTTTTTTCGCGTTTTTTGCTGGTTTTTTCCGCGTTTTGCTTTTTTTTTTTGCATTTTCCCGATTTTCGGCCGAGTTTCCTCCCGCCAATTGTTGGAGAAAAAGTTCGCCTGCCATTGGCTGGGGGGAAACAACTCGAATGAAAACCGGCAAAACGCAACAGAATATGCAAAACACCGCAAAAAAAGCTGCAAAACGCGAAAAAAAACTGCGAAAACGGCAAAAAAAAGCGCGAAATGGTCTCTCCGCCTTCTTTGGCGGGGCCGGCACCCCGGGCGCCTGGGCTTTCGGGGGGCCTGGGGTGCCCCTTTTTTTCCCGTTTCTGGGCAGTTTTTCTGCAAAATCAGCAAAAAAAAGCCGGGGCGAACAAAAAAGAAGCGGCCGCGGCCCCCTTCGGCGGCCATGCTGGGTTCGCGTCGGCGGGAAACCCACGCACCCGCGGGGCCGTCCCGGCGCAGGGCCCCTGGCGGCGTGTGTCCCGCTGGCTGCAGAGGGCTGCGGGCCGAACTCCGCCACCCGCCTTCCTGTTTTTGCCGAGTGCCACAGGCACCCATTCACTTTCCGCTTTGTCGTTTTTGCGGAAAAAAAAAGGCGAAAACGCCAAAAAAAAAACGCGGAAGGCGGCCCGGGCGGGAGGGCTGCCAGAACACGGCTCCGGCCCGCCCGCCTCGGCGCCCCCCGGGGGCGGGGCCCCGTGGCGGCGGCGTCCGCGGGCTCTTGTCGAGGCCGCCCGGCAAGCGCCCCCGTACCTTGCGCCCCTCCGCCGCCGCCTTTTTTTCTTCAGGTTGCCACCTTTTTTCTTCAGTTTGCAACTTTTTTTCTTCAGCTTGCGACTTTTCTTCTTCAGTTTGCCACCTTTTTTCTTGAGTTTGCGAGTTTTTTTCTTCAGTCTGCGACCCTTTTTGCTATTTTCGACACAAAAAAGCGCCACAGAATGGCTTCCAGGCGGAAAGCGCCGGGGGCGCCGGCGGGGCAGCGCGCGACGCATCCACAAGCTCCGACGGTCGCCCGCAAAGCCGCGCGGAGCACCCTCCACGCTGCGCGCGCCTTTTGTTTTTTGGCTAGTTTCGCGAGTTTTTTCGTGCCCCGGCTCTTTTTTTCATGTCCCCGCGGCATTTTCCCCTGCATTGCGCGGCCAAACAGGACGCCGCTTGTTATTTTTTCTCTTTAAGCAGGTCCCAATAATCTTGCCCGCCGGAACGTACCTGCACCGCGCCGATACGCCCCAATTTGTTTTGCTTCCGCGGGATTTTCCTTTCCGCTGGAGCCCTCTTCCGGTCCACTTTCCCGCGGTTCTGCGTCGGCCACGAGTCCGGAAAAAGACTTAGGGACTACTTCGGTTTTACTTAGGATTCACTTAGGCCAACACTTAGGTTTATCGAGAAAAACCAATACTAATAGATGTGATCATCCGTGCGCCGTTTTTCCCGCCGCCCGCTGTTCTTGATTTCGGGAACTTATTGTTATTGCGCGCTTCGTTTCTTGTTCCCCTTGCGGCTGGCGAGGCGGAAGACAGTCCTTCGGAATCGAGCGAGGACCCCGGATAGTTGTTTTTACCACGTGGTTGCGTCGGCCGCCGCATCCGCTCTGGTGACGACTCTGCGTCGGAGATTTCCGACTCCGAGCCGGATCCGGAAGAGCTGCTCCCCTCGTACGGCCGCAGTTTGGAATTATGGGAGTGTCAGGATTGAACTCGACAAAGTTGAAACAATTTGTAATGCATAAAACGAATACCAGTTGGCCCCTAGTTTTCAAGTGGCGCATGACAAATCTGGGTAGAACCGAAATCCAGTTTGTCATGCTGTTTGGGTAAGGAAGGCGCCTTTTGTGATGCTACTTTAGCAGCTCTAATATTTCTACCCCTCAACAGGCTTACAATCTGCCTAACTTGCCTACTCTGCAAGACAGGCCTTTTGTGGGTTGCGTTTTATGCATCACAAACTATTTCAACTCTGACGATTTCAATCCTGACGCTTCCATAGGAATTGTTGTCTTCGTATGCTGCTGGTGTGGCTCCTCCCATCCGACTCTGCACAATATTTTGACCACTCTGGAGGTGGTGCCCCATCTGCTGCTGCTGCTGCTGGAAATACGCTTGCATTTGGTTGCTCGGTCGCAGCCGCTCCCCCCGGCTCTCCGGGCGCTGGGCGAAGCTGGCGGCTTCCTGCTGGTGCAGTTTGCGATTCATCATCAGGTGCGGGGAGTTGTTGTGGTCTAGTGGTGCTGCTGGTGCCGCGACCTGGCTGTGTGGTAAAGATGTTGACCCAGTAGTTCTACTCTGTTGTGACCCACCTGCTCGTGTGTTTCTGTTATTCCTCCCGTCATCGTCGTCCGAACCGAGAACCGCGTCCATTTCGTCCAACAGGTTTTGCACTTTCGCGAACCGCTCATCCTTCTGCAAATCTTCCCTGGCTTGTTTCCGCACACGCTCCTCTTTTGTCAAAATCTCCCCGTCTGAGTCTTCTTCCGCGATGATTCTGTCCGGATCTATTTCTAGTGTCTTCGTGTGGTCTATGCATGAAAAAAGCTGTGTAAGTATAAGTCAAAGTCTGTCATGCAGAAAAAGCAAAACAATCACACTTGTCATGCCAGACATCCATGATATCCTCTTGTTTTCATGTGTGTTTTCATCACGTAGTTAAACTCGTTGTGCATGACAAACTTTATCTGTCATGTGGGGCAACAAGTTTGTCATGCTAATACAACTCTAAGACGCATCAGCACAGTTTTTTTCTTGGATCATATGATCGTCCTCGTTGTCCAAATGCTCGATTTCCTCTTCGCTGTTCTCATCGTCCAGATCTACCGGCATCTCGATCTTCTGCACTTTCTCGTACTTGTTATGCATTGCAAATATGTACAAGGCTGGCCCTGGAGACTGGTAGAACTTCCACTGTGTTAGTCCTCTTGCACGGTATGGTGCTATATGTGAAATTTTTTGGGTTGTTGTGCGTAACGACCAACAGAAGCACAGCTGCCTTTGATGTCTTCATGCAGTGTAATATCAACGCGCTGCACTACATGCGAAACCGTGCCAAGAACGGCGTGTCTTCCCATGCTAGGCTGACCACTTTCCCGAAGACATAAAGATTTGGTCATCGTCCACGACTACGCACCATCGCAAGTCATCTCCGCCAGACCTCCCGGGTTTCTATTTTTTGCAGTGGATACTCTTTGCTGTTCAGCCATTTCTGGTTGTACGTGGTCATGGTCGCCAATGCGGCGGAGAAGTCATCTGAAATTGTTTGGTATAAGAATTACGAATTGCTCGTACGACACTGTATCATGTGTGGTGTAGTTACTTCTGCTGGCTGCAGCATGAAAATACTTAACTCAAAGCCGCAGCTGTTCCGCCTTTACTTGCCCGATACACTTACACTTACAAGTATACCTGCTGGTATGGGCTTGTTCAGCTCTTCCTTGTTCCGGACGCACATGTCCCAGGTTCTCTGCAACAGCAAATTTGTCTTTTCCGCCTCCTGCCCGCATACCACTTTCAACGAGGAGGGCGGTTCGAAGGGGTTCCGGTCCGCGCTCGCTTATCCTGTGCAAAAGTATCGCACTCGTAGTAAAAGTAATTGCAAACATGCACTAAGTCTTGCTGTTAAGGTAAATCCGCATTACAATTTTTCTTTCTCATGCTGAGGAAATTTGTAATGCATTCATACGAGTACGATACTTTTGCAATGCATATCGCTTGCATGACCGCAATGATCCACGCGTCGAGCCAATCGCACTTCTCTTGCTTGCTGTTCGGAAGCTGGGGCTGCGACGAGTTGCTGCCCCCTCCTGGTTATGCATTGCAAAAGTATGTAATCGCAATCACGCATGACAAGTCTCTTGCTCAGGAGGGTAAATCGGCATGACAAGTTCCCTCTGTCATGCTGAGCTAATTATTTGTATTGCAATAAATACTACTTACGATTAGCAATTACTATTTGCAATGCATACTGGTAGCGAAGTCTTGAGGTCCTCGAGCTCTTCCGGGAATTTCTCGATTAGCGCGTGCAAAAAATCAAACAGAAAGCGGAACTATCAAAATGAAAAATCCCCCCTCCCCATATCAAAATAAAAATTTCTGTTGCTGATTTGTGTACACAAATCCGACTTGTCTTGCAGTGCGGCACTCCTGCCAGATCCGCAGCCTGGGTGGCAGCGCTCGGGTCTAGTTGCTCAGCATTGCAAACGGCTACCATCTAGGACCAACAGCGTGCCAAATCGCTTCACAATTGGGCGGATGCCTCTGCACTTGTCTTCGTGCAAGACAAACCTGATTTGTGGTCACAAATCAGCAACTACACACATTTTCGGATGAAACATACCTTTTCAATATGGGGATGGGGGGTTTTTCCTCTCAATAGGAACGGCGGCTTCTTCAAGCGGTCGGCGGTTAGCCGGGGCTTTATCAAGGAAAAAAAGTTCGTCGCGATCACTCATGCGCATTCTTGCAATACAAAATTGCTTGTCATGCGTAAAAATGCATCACAGCCAAACTTCATGAGGGATTTCCCTAGTGTTTCTGCAACACAAGGAAAGTTTGTGATGCTGAGAAAATTTGTAGTGCAAAACCTGCAAGTTAGTGACTGTGACAAACTTTTTTCTCTCCATAGGCTTCTCGATGTTGGCACTAGACAGCAGCTGCTGGGTCTGCGCCACGATCTCGTCCAGAAGATCATGAGGACCTCCTTCAGCTGCTGCACCATCGGTAACCATTTTCTGAAACTGCTGCTCTCGTCCAGGAGAGGAATTTTCGTGATCAAGCACCGGAGGCGGAGGAGACACAGGGGCCGTGTCCTCAGTCATCTTTGTAGGTTACTTTTGTATTGTGATGCAGTGCTGTTCGTCCTGCTCTCGATTTCTGCGGTGCGGTGGTAGTCGTGGTGATTAACTACTTAGTTACTGTGTGCTTGCTTTGTTCAACCCTGGGGATAATTATTTTCTCAGATCTATGGTAGTGAGGCGCGGCGGGGTGGAAGCACTTCGTCTATGCGCGGGCCTTTCTCTCACTGCGAAAGAGACAACTCCTCAACGCCCACCCGATCACGATAAAAACGAAAACAATGAATCACTCTCGTCAAAAAGAAGAACGAAGAGCTCAATACGAGAACAAAGAAACCAAGCGAATGTAGTGTGAACAGCGTGCCAGAACCAAAGCCCTCTTTTTAAGTCTTAGAAAATAAATCCGGGCAGCTCCGTCTCGATGGAGCCGGCGCCCCATTGGCGAAAACCTGAGCGGCCGCCGCTGTCGCTGTGGTACCAAGCGAGGCCACTGCTTCTCAAGGTGGAGGGCCCGCTCCTAAAGGCATACGCAAAGCAGATAAACACTGCAGGCGGCGGAAATTTGTCTGTCTTCCTTGCCGTGAAACAGGTGAGCGCTGGCTTTCAAGCAGAGAAGAGCATCTGTCTAGGCATGAAAAATGTCAGAAGCCGACGTACATCCGGCCAGCTATTACATATCTCTATCAGATGAGGGAAGACGAGGTCTTTCCCCTGCGGGGCTGTTCACTGCAAGATCGCCTGTTGCTCGCCCACAGTGGCGAAACAGCGTGCAAATATCGCTACCGTATCAAGATGTGCAAATGCCGCAGCTCATTCTCCTGCACAAATGCCGAGAGGGTAAAGAACTACGATAAAGGGGCGCGCGCAGGACTAGATAGGCAAGAGGAAGGGCAGACCCTAGCTAAAAGGCCATCAGAGAAGGAAAGCCGGCCTTGTTGCCGATGGTCAAACACAAGCTGTGAAGGCACTAATAAGCGATCTACCTGGAAGGCGAAAGCTCGACGGTGTGACTGGAATACTCGAAAAGAAGCATGCTCGCAAAGAGCACAAAAATCGCTTGCGAATCTAGTGTGTAAGGGCTAGGGCTACTGATGCAACGCATTATAATTGCAAGCCTATCACTACGACTCTACTACTCGAAAAAACTGAAATTGCTGAGCTTTTGAATTTCATTTGAATTGCGTTTCGATTACATTTAGCGCCGGGTGCTTCTGCGTTAATAATACGAGAACAAAGAAACGACCAAGCGAATGTAGTGTGAACAGCGTGCCAGTAGTTCCCTCGTCCTGTTGACAAAATGATATATAAAGCAGGGGTTTGGTGGGGTCGCAGGGGGTATTTTTGTCTAGCGCCGGAAGAGCAGAACCGCGGGAGCCAAAGCCCTCCTGTCGAAGGCTGCGCGGTTTGGCCAATTTGGTATCCTACCCCGATTCCCCTAATTTCATACCCTCACCCGATTCGCCTTCTTTTGTACCCTACCCCGATTTGGCTAATTTTGTACCCTCCCCGAATTTTGTACCCTATCCCGATCTCCCTAATTTTGTGCCCTAGCCCGATTTGGCAAATTCAGTACCCTCGCCGAATTGTGTACCC